TCCTTTTTGTTCCAGTTCTTCTGTTATCATTTCCTTTCTGTTTAGAGAGCTTCCTTTAGCCCTTCTTTAAGGGCGGGTCTGCTAGCAACAAAGTCTTTTAGTTTTCCTTTAATAACGTTTTCATTTCCCTTGATTTCTGATGGATAGTTTTGCTGGATACAGAATTTGCAATTAGCAGTTCTTTTATTTCAGCACTTAAAAAATGTTGTGCTACTTCCTCTGGCTGTCATGGTTTCAGAAAAGAAACCCTTTGTTCCCATATGGGTAATGGGTCACTTCTCCCAGATGATTTTGAGATTCTTTGTCTTTAGTTTTCAGCAGTTTAATTATGATGTGTCTTGGTGTGTATTTCTTTGGGCTTATTCTACTTGAAGTTTACTCACCTTCTTGAATTTGTTGGTTTATGTCATTTACTAAATTTGGGAATTTTTAGTCATTATCTGTTACAATACTTTTTACACCCACGTTCTTTCTCTTTTCCTTCTTGACTCTGATTGTATGAGTCTTAGAGTTTTTATTATATAGTCCCACAGGTCTCTCAAGCTTTGTTCATTTTTTTTCAGTTTATTTTCTTTTTATTGTTTGTATTGAATGAATTCTGTTGATTTGTTCTCATAGTCACTCATTTTATCTTTTGTTATCTTTACTCTATTATTGTGCCCTTCCAGTAAGCTTTGTTATTTTGGCTATTGTATTTTTTGGTAATTTCTGTTTGGTCCTTTTTTAAAAATATAACCTTTTTTTGCATGAGTTTTCTATTTTTTCATTTGTTTCAAGAGGATTTGTAATTACTTTATGATTACAAATTACTTTATGCTTTTAGAGCAGCTTTATGATGACTGCTCTAAAGATCTCTGTCAGATAATTTCAACATCTGAATCATCTCTATGCTGATGTCTCTTGATAGTCTTTTCTCACTTAAGTTGTGATTTTCATGGTCTTTGGTATGACCAGTAATTTTCACTTGTACCCTGGATATTTTGAATATTATATTAGGAGATTTTTTATTCTTTTTAAATCTTAGTTTTAGCAGGCAATTGCCTAGTTTAGGTTTAGCATGTTGGGTTCTGTCAGCCCTTCCAAGGCTTACCTGATACCTCCGCTGTGGGCAGTCCAGGCTCAGTGCTGCTGGCCACTGTGAGGTGTGGGATGCGTTGGCTCTCGGGCTCTGCTGAAGAGGTTGCCATCAGCAACATTGATTCATCGCTGCTGCTGAGTGTGAGTTTCCCACCTAGTCCCCACTGGGCCGCCTCCTTTTCCACTCCATTGGCCAGAGAAATCAGGCTTTTCTTGGTTTCTGTTTTTTTCCCCTGTCTATTCCTAGTGGCTCCAGGGCTGGTTGCAGGGCTGTCAAGCACCTAGTGTGGCATGTATGGGAGATAAAAATGGGAGAATTATTGTTTTATTACATTTTGGGTATGATGCTGTGAGATTATTAAGATGTTAACTGCTGTTTCTTCTTTTCTATTCATAAAGGGGAGAGATTTATCTTTGGTTTTGATTCAAATTCTAGTACTGTGTCTAGGACCATACATATTTATCTATTAAACAGTATTTTTTTTAACTTTTTAAAAATTTTAATGAGGTCATATTGGCTTATAACATTGTGTAAATTTAAGGTGTACATTGTTATATTTCAGTTTCTGTATAGACTACCACCAATAGTCTAGTTTTTATCCGTCACCATAGTATGTGCGTGCCCCTTTGTCCCTTTTGCCCTCCCACCCCTTTCTCCTCTGGTAACCATTAATCTGTTCTCCTTATTTATGTGTTTGTTTATCTTCCACATATGCATTAAATCATACGATATTTGTCTTTCTCTGTCTGACTTATTTCGCTTAGCATAATACCCTCAGGATCCATCCATGTTGCCGTAAATGGCACGATTTTGTCTTTTCTTTTATGGCTGAGTAGTATTCCATTGTGTATACATACCACATTTTTTTTACCCATTCATGGCATTGATGGACACTTGGGTTGCTTCCACGTGTCGGCTATTGTGAATAATGCTGTGATGGACATAGGGATGCATAAATCTTTTTGAATTGTTGATTTCATGTTCTTTGGATAAATATCCAGTAGTGGAATAGCAGGATCATATGGTATTTCTGTTTTTAATTGTTGGGGAAATCTCCATACTGTTTTCCATAGTGGCTGCACCAGTTTGCCTTCCCACCAGCAGTGTATGAGCGTTCCTTTTCCTCCACATTTTCTCCAAGACTTGTTATTTCTTGTCTAATTATAGCTGTTGCAATGGGTGTGAGGTGAAACCTCATTGTAGTTTTGATTTGCATTTCCCTAATAATTAGCGATGTTGAACATCTTTTCATGTGCCTGTTGGCCATCTGTATATCTTCTTTGGAAAAATGTCTCTTCAGATCCTCTGCCTATTTTTTGATCTGCTTGTTCATTTTTTTGTTGTTGAGTTGTATGAGTTCTTTATATATTTTTGAAATTAACCCCTTGTCATCTATATGATTTACAAATATTTTCTCCCAGTTGGTGTGTTGTCATCGTTGTGTCGATCCTTTCCTTTGCTGTGCAGAAGCTTTTTAGTCTGATGTAGTCCTATTTGTTTATTATTTTTTTGTTTCCCTTGCCTGAGTAGACATGGTATTTGAAAAGATACCGCTAAGACTGATGTCAAAGAGTGTACTGCCTATATTTTCTTCTAAGAGTTTTATGGTTTCAGATGTTACATTCAAGTCTTTAATCCATTTTGAGTTAATTTTTGTGTATAGTGTAAGATAATGGTCTACTTTCATTCTTTTGCATGTGGCTATCCAGTTTTCCCAAGACCATTTGTTGACGGGACTTTCTTTTCTCCATTGTATGTTCTTGACTCCTTTGCAAAAGATTAGCCATCCATAGATGTGTTGTTTTATTTTATTTGATGGTAGCCCATATAACTCTCTATTTTTGTCCTTTGTTGTATCATTGGCATTGCAGTTTCATCTTTAAAGCAATTGATTTTAAGTGTATGTTACACATGAATATATATTATTCTTGTAAAAAATGTTAAAATTCCTAAGACTAGAATTTTCTTTGACCACTTCCTTTAATTTCAGTCCCTTACATGTAAGTATACGCACCTGTAAGTTGAGTGTGTATCCTTGTAGATATTTTTAGACATTTACATACAAAAATAATACCAGCAGAAATTTTATGGTATTTCTTTTCATGTGTGTTTTTAAAATTTTTTCTAATAAAATGTCATATTTTATCATTACATATTTTTCTACTTTTGTTCAGTATTTCTTGTTTTTCTTTCCAATTTAGCACCCATGTAATCTATCCTTTTTCTTTTAAACTGTAGCATAGACTTCTGTAAAATGGATATTAGCCATTTACCATTGTTTTTGCTATTATGAACAATGGTGTAATGAATATCTATTTGAATGCTGCTTTAAGCAGATAGGGCTGATTCCAGGAAATACGGTTGCTGGGTCACAGGGACATGGATGTTTTAAAATTTAAAATATGATCCAATTTGTCCTCCCAGAGAGCTGTACCAATTTATATTCCCACCAGCTGTACATGCAAGTATCTGTTTCTTTACTGACCCTGGATATTAGTAAACTTAAATTTTTTTTGTCAACAGAATTTTTTTGTCAACCTGGATAAAAACATACTATCTCAGCTTTTTATTTTTCCTGGTTACTGGTGAGAAAGAGTGTGTTTCCTATGTTGTTGGCTCTTTGGGTATTGTTGGTGCATACTATGCATTTTACTTATACCTGATATATTGTTATTTATTAGTTAAAATATATTAGTTAATATTTGGCAAGCACCAAAATGTTGACATCACCATACTTGTTTTATTTTGAGAATTTTCTTGATTTCTGAATTTTTAACCATATGCTAAAAAGGATCCCTACAGCTAGAAAGTTCCTTGTTTACTCTTCATTGTATTTGTATATTGAGCTTTCTGTTTTTGAGATAGTTGCCATGATTCAGGCATGGCACTCCTAGAAAGTATGATTATATTTCAGGATTCAGTATGTTGAAGCAGCTGGATGATTTGTTTGTCATCTTATGATAACCTTCATTTCTGTCCTGGCTACATATGGAATATGCAAAATAATGTTCATTCCACTTTGTGAAAAACATGGAAGCTAAAACCAGGCATCCTTTAGGTAGACTTCTGGAATGCCAGGGAGTAAAGTGACAGTTTTTAAGATCTTGGATACTTTGGTTAAAATTTCTGTGGCTGGATGACGATGGAGTGTTTCTGTTTTAAACCAATGTATTTCTCAGCCACTATGCTGAGCAAATCTGCAAACTTGAATCAAATTGTCCTGTAATTGCAAATGCTTTTAAAGAGAAGAAGAAAAAGGGGTAGTTAAATCTTAACTTAGTGAATTTTCTTTCATTGGATACTTGGGTAGCATTTAGTTCCATGGTATTGATAATTATATCTGAGCAATTAATGTTTAACCAGTGCCTTCCTTTTTCCTGTACAATGTAGTTCTAATCTCTTGCTTTGCATGGGCATTATAAAAGGGAGAAAGATTAAAATTAGGAAATGAAAGCCCCATTAGAAAATTCATTAATTTTTATTATACATTCATATGTGTTTTTTCTGTTTTAAAGATATTTGAGTGTTTTAGTTCATCAGTGTGTTGGAACTTCACATAGCTTTGATTTCCTAGCAGGGAACAAGGCTGAGTCAACCCAATTTACATGTGTAATTAAGACATGAGATCTTACTTAAGGTTTTAAAGAGGTACTTTCATAAAAACTATGTAAATGGAAATGCCATTAATGAATTTTCTAATATTCTTTTCATATATTGGTTACGTGTTTTCTGCATAGCTCTTCTTAAACTTCCTTTGTCTTATAAATTTTCATTATATTTCAATATTAGATTTTTAAGTCAGTTTGTGGGCCATTATAGCTGAAGAGAAAACAAAAGTTGGTTTAACATTATGAAGTAAATGATACTGATTTTAGAAGCACATGAAATTAATTTATGTTTAAAAAAAATTTTTTTTTTCCAGTTCATCCAGAGCAGCTTCCTCCGAGGCCATGGATTACATTAAAAGAACGAGACCAAATTCTGCCATCAGGTAAATAGTTTTTCTTATTCTTCCTTGACTTTTTCCAGAAATAACTTGAAATATCATTTGGGCTTTGTGATATAATTAACAGGCCTTCATTTTTATCTCCCCTCAGTAGATGAGTTTAAAAATACTGATGGAAAGACTTTTAAAAAAAAAATTACACTGTGGCTTATGTACAAGAATCTTGTATCTTTCACAATGATGCAACTCTTGGTTGTAAAATTAATCCTTGTAATAGAGCCTTCCAAGTGACATCTTCACACAGGATATTGGGTGATTTAAGAAAAATGAGTAATAATGAATTTTCTTCTGAAAAATTTTAAACTACTCAGATACTTCATCTTTCTTAAGCAGGTTGTTAGTCCATATTCTTCTGGCTCAGAGCAGTGAGAACAGTACGAGGTCCAAAAAAGTATTAAGTATGGATATTTTGTTAATAAAAATTAATGAAATTGGAGCCTTTTAATGAAAATGAAACTAAAATTTACTTTTGTTCCCTTTATACAGAGAGGCTTTGCTCAAGAAATTATGTGTAAAAAATTAGCATTCTGATTTAAAACTTGAATTTTTATTTATCAAAGTAAATTGCCTGAAAATCTTAAATATGAACTGTTAGTCTAAATCTAGTAAAAGAACTTTGGTGTGATGGTCTCCAGTGAAGGTTTAGTAGATGTAGTTTAACAGAATCTTGCCCGAGGCATTTCACAATGATGATATTTAGGGTATATTTGTGTGCCATGTGTGCTTGTGCAGATATATACATGATACTACTTTAGAAAAAGTTGCCTAATTTTCTCCCTTTTGTCTGTTGTTTTTTTCTCCCACTTCTTAGCATCATTCACGGTTATGTGTTACAATGTGTTATGTGATAAATATGCCACCCGGCAGCTATATGGCTATTGCCCATCCTGGGCATTAAACTGGGAATACAGGAAAAAGGGAATTATGGAAGAAATTGTTAACTGTGACGCAGATATCATTAGTCTTCAGGTAACACTACAGAAATTAAATTGTCTTTAACTTAAAGGTGAACTTACACATAATAGTAGGAGATCTTACTTTTGGGAGAGATCTTGTGTTCAAAGCAAAACTCAAAAGGAATTATTTTCTCTCTTTTTAACAAAAGGACAGTTTTGGGGCCGGCCCCAAACCGGTGGCATAGCGGTTAAGTGCACACGCTCTGCTTTGGTGGCCCGGGGTTCAGAGGTTCGGATCCTGGGTGTGCACCGACGCGCACCGCCTGTCAAGCCATGCTGTGGCGGTGTCCCATATAAAATGGAGGAAGATGGGCACGAATGTTAGCTCAGAGCCAGTCTTGCTCGGCAAAAAAGAGGAGGATTGGCCACAGATGTTAGCTCAGGGCTGATCTTCCTCACAAAAAAAAAACGGACAATTTTAATAAGCCCATAAGACATTTCCACAGTGAAACTATTTTGCTAAGTTCAGCCATCCACTTCTCATCTACTATTTTCTTAAGTGAAAATAGTCTCACCCATTATTCATGTTAACAGTTCATCTCATGAACAAATCATTGGTATTGCTGAAAGAGAAAACTACAGAAGATTGGGTCTTTCAGGAATATAAATTTAACTTATAATGGAATCTGTTAAAAAAATTGCTTGCCCACTGTTGTTCCTTAATGATAAACATTTAAAAGTATTTTACTATCATTCATGTATTTTTGCCTTATTTTAAAAGTCATTTCTGAAATTTAGACTCCTCTGTTTTACAACACTTTATTTTAATGAATTTAACCGAAGAAGCACCTTTCCATTGAAATATGTGTTTAATCACTTCTTTTTAGCACTCAGCTAATGAATAGCCGAGAAGGTTTATAGGAAGTTTTTAGTAGGTTTTTCCTTAGCAACTTTTCAAAGCGTATTAAATGCCTATAAACATATTTTAAAATTTAAATGTTATAATTTCACATCTTCTTTTCAGCATAGCCTAAGAAGAAAGTTATTACTTTTTAAATAATTTTTTTCATACTAGAGTAACTTGTATGAAATTTTTTTATGTTGTCCATGTTTCATATGACTTCCTGGGAAATAATAATAAGTAAAAATCTTCAAAAATTAGATTTTCTTCTAAACACTGAGAACTGACACAATTCGGAGGAGGAGGAGGCAAACAAAATTAGGCTTGTTGTAGTTACTTAATCGTCTTTCTTTTGATTTTGTATTTGTAGTAATAACAGCCTCCCAGTCTTCTAAGTAAAATATAATTTGAAGGATAAAAACATCATAATTAACAAATATATTTTCTTATAAAAGTAATACTATATTCTAAAGCGTTCATTCTAGAGAAGTGAAAATTTTGAAAAAATATACAGAATATTGGAGGAAAACATGTAATCTCATATCCCAAAGAGAGTTGCTGTGTTAAAACTTCTGAAGTATTTCTTGTACACATTTTTTTTTACTCACCTATTTATTTACAGATATGTTTTCGAAATAAAATTGAGATCACACTATTGACATATTTTGTTTCTTGTTTATTACACTTAATGTACTTTCCATATTAATAAAATTCTTCAAAGCTAATTAATTATGTGTATATATATATATATATTAAATGATTTAGCATTTTCCCTACTGTTGGACATTTAGGCTGTTTATGAGTTTTTTCTGTTATAAAATCATATTGTTATGAGCATTAACATACATAAATCATTCACGCTTGGTTATTTCATTTGGAAAGATTTGTTAAAAGTATTTAACGGGTCAAAGAATAAAATAGTCTAACTTAATTTCGAAATTAACAGAGACCATTGGATCATGGGTATTCAGGTACCTAAAAATTCCTTAAAGTAGAATTTTTTGTTGATAGATCTTAAGCTGCTCACTCTTGGGTATCATTCCTTTCCACCACACTTGAGAAAAATAAATAATTTTGAAAATTACCTCTTCATATATAAAATTTACTATTTCCTACCACTTAATTTATAGTATGACCCACTTTCTTTGTTTAATTACCAGTCTTGAGGAAGTGAAGTATAGTGGAATAAACTCTAATTTGGGAGTCAAGAGACTTGGGCCAACTAGCTGTGAGAGCATGAGAAAATCATGTGACATTTCTGGTTCTTTCATGTTTAGAAAGCTGCCATTGTCAAATGGTGGCTGCTAGCAGTAAGGTAACATAGATAATATTTGCTGTGTGAATTATTTTAACTTAGTCACATCTTAATTATAATGCTTAATATTTTTATATCTTAATCAGAGTTTCCCTTTGTATGTCAATGCTAACTTTTCTTTCATCTCAGGAAGTGGAAACAGAGCAATACTTCACTCTCTTTCTGCCAGCATTGAAGGAGCGTGGATATGATGGATTTTTTTCTCCAAAGTCACGTGCCAAAATCATGTCTGAGCAGGAGAGAAAGCATGTGGACGGTTGTGCAATATTCTTCAAAACAGAAAAGTGAGTTAAGGAAACAAAGTATAATAGTGTAAACCTACTTCTTTAATTATCAAATATTTCAAATTGTCTTTGGTTTGACCCTATAAAATAAACAAAAAGTATAAATCAAGTGGTATAAATATAATTAAAACTGTTGGTAATGTTTTATTTTTTAGACTGTGTATTGAAAATAAGAATATTTTTTATGCTTTTATTGCCAAATTACATTGAAAATTTTAAGAGGTGTATACTTGAATATAGTGTTGTAATCAAATGTATTTTCTTTTTTTTTTTTCTTCTGAGGAAGATCAGCCCTGTGCTAACATCTGCCAATCCTCCTCTTTTTTCTTTTTCTTTTTGCTGAGGAAGACTGGCCCTGGGATAACATCCATGCCCATCTTCCTCCACTTTATATGGGACGCTGCCACAGCATGGCTTGACAAGTGGTGCGTCGGTGCGCGCCCGGGATCTGAACCGGTGAACCCCAGGCTGCTGCAGCGGAGCACGTGCATTTAACTGCTTGTGCCACCGGGCGGCCCCCTAATGTATTTTCATGAATTAAAGTGTTAGTTTTGGTGTAGAAAGAGAAAGTAGTACCTTTTAAGATTAGAAATAAGTGATCTGAGTTTCTTTCTGTGATTTTTTTTTTTTTTTTCTGGTAGTTGGCCTTTTTCAGAATCATTCACTTTATCAACTTTTTCATTTTTTTCAATTAGTATTTCATACATTTATTTAATCATTTATTCACTAAATGTTTACTGAGCTTTTGCTTTGTGACAAGTGCTATGCTAAGTCACGGTGGACACAAAGGTAGACAAGACATAGTTCCTAATTCCTCTCAGTCTAGTAGGAAAAGGTAAGCATGTAAGAAAATCACAGTGTAATATGGTATATGTAAGATAGAGATATGCATAGATAGATAAGGGGGGACAAAAGAGAGGCACAGAGTTTATGGAGGTGGGGAGGTAAAGGATTGATTGAGACAGGACGATGGAAAGCAGTCATTATCAAACATCCAGAAAACATGACCTGTGTTTTTTCAGGGCTATTAATGTAGTTGATTAAAGTATTATCAAAGATGAGAATATTATGAATCTACTTATTAAAACATATAAAGGATCTTGTAGAGGCCTCTGTGCTTTAATATTCTTGAGTTTAAAATGGAAAACGGTATCTGTTCAGCCTACTTACCTCAAAGATAGTTAACAAGAATTAAATGAGGTAATGAATGGGTAGGTACTTGGTAAACCATAAAGTGTCCTGGAAATATTTTTATTATTGTCATATTTCTCTGTATCTGTAGTCCTTTGTAATTTTAGTGTTTCTCTCTTCCTGGGTTTATGTTGTATGCATTGGATTTGGGAACTGCATTTCCTACTTGAGGATGCGGAGCCATAGCATGCTCAGAAGGCTATCTCTTGAGTGCTGGCTGAATGACTAGATGGTTAGAGGCAAATTCTTTTGGTTATTGTCTTGAGGAAAAGAGAGAAGCATATTTTTGCCTCATAAAGTTTTAGAGTGGAAAATTTGAGGGAACCTCCAAAAGAAGACTGGAATGTGTGAAGTATGATAGAGATTGAATCCCATGGTTAATAATTTGGGTTTGATACATTAGATAGGGAATCATCTACTTATAGAATAAGCATGTATATGCTTGTGACTATTTTCCAATATTTCCCTGTTTAATACCTATTATAACAAAGCCAGTTAAATATTTTTATTGATACAGACATATTACCAGCATGGCATGTTATTTTAAGTAAATGTGAATAAGTATATTTGAAAGATATTTGGCTTACTTGTTCTCATTTATTGTACTACTTTCCTGTCTTTGAATTTTTAATAGAGATATTCTCATTTTGGTTAATAACTAGTACACAGTTCTGTAGTATTTGAGGTCAGAATATACTAAATTCTTCTAGTGGGTTGGTGATTTTTTTAATGCATTTTAGAATAACAATACCTGTTACTTCCATAGTGTTTACGTGTCAGGCCTTTTATTTATATGGATTATCTTAGTTAATTTGTAAAGCAACCCTCAGAGGTAGGAATAGAGCTATTTCCTCATTTTTATAGATGAAGAAACCAAGGCACAGAGAGTAGTCTGGCTTTTATAGTCAGTGCTTTTAACCTGAACTAAACTGAATCTTAAGGCTTCTTGTTTGAGCTTTCGATATTACTTGTGCCTCATAAGGTTACCTCATTCTGAAAAATTGCCTTGAATTTGATATATGTTACCTATATTCATATACAAATTTCCTTGAAACTCCATAACTTACGAAAAGTACCGATAACATGGAGACATCTAACATTAAGTAAGCTCTTTTTGTTTCCCGTTGTTTCTTTTTTTTTTTAAATTTTATTTATTTATTTATTTTTTCCCCCAAAGCCCCAGTAGATAGTCGTATGTCATAGCTGCACATCCTTCTAGTTGCTGTATGTGGGACGCGGCCTCAGCATGGCCGGAGAAGTGGTGCGTCGGTGCGCGCCCGGGATCCGAACCTGGGCCGCCAGCAGCGGAGCACGTGCACTTAACCGCTAAGCCACGGGGCCAGCCCCCGTTGTTTCTTTCTGAAGGAAGATAATACAATTTTTATCATTCCCTTCACAGTTTTGAGAGGAAAATCTAAAATGCCTTGATAATTTACTAGAGGTGGTTAAGATTTTGAACTAACAATTATAAGTGTTGTCTAGGAAACTTTAAACAACTGAGTATTTGGAAGTCGATGCTTAAATTATTAAAAATGTTGTGAATTTAGTTAAGAAATGAATATATAGGAAATTCTTAGATGCGTCATTTATATTTCTTCCCTTACTCAACTCTTTTTGTCTAAATAGTAATGTTGATACAGCAATGGATGAAGATTGAGTTTGAGTGTGATACATTATTACATTCTGCCTCTTCTGAACAGTACCAAGTACTTGTTGATGTCATATTAGCTAACTATCCAATGCCAAACTATTTGGAATTTAACACACAGTATACTACCTTGCCTTTATTCTATTCTTTCTTCAGATTGGAGAGATAATAAATACAATGCAAAGAAAAGACAGTTTTGAAGCCAGATGGTTCTCTTACTTATATAGCTGTATAATTTTGAACGAGTCACTTACCCTTTCTGGGCTTATTTCCTCATTTGTATATATTTGTGTATTACATTGTAAGATAATTTCTTTATATGATTTACAAAACTGACAAAGTCAAAAGGTTGCTGTAGAAGAGTACTTCAACTCTCTGTACTCATTCTCACTAAAACCAGAGTATCTGATAATTCCTAATGTTCATTGATGACAGTTTTTTCCCTTTGTAGAAAACAGTGGTACAGAGTAGGTAACAATAAGTGGAAATCATAATAATTACTATTTTTAGCAAAATACTATAATAAAAATCTCTTATCCATCATGATGAAAGGATAGGATGTTGCTTAGTAAAGGCTAGGACACAGATTACCAAGATTCAGAGAATTAGAATACAATAAAATATTCCTTGCATCACATTCATTCTAGTTTAATTTAATCTTTGGTCATTCAGAAGGCCCTTAAAGATTTGGTAGCACCTTTTGGTCATTATTATGAATATCATTTTTCGGGTAGTTAGATGTGTAGAGATACCAGAAAATAGAAATTTTGATGGATGAAATGCCAGAAATCACCTTTTTTTTTTTTTGTGAGGAAGATCAGTCCTGAGCTAACATCCGATGCCAACCCTCCTCTTTTTGCCAAGGAAGATTGGCTCTGGGCTAACATCCGTGCCCATCTTTCTCTACTTTATATGGGACACCGCCACAGCATGGCTTGACAAGCGGTGCATCGGTGCACACCCAGGATCCGCACCTGCGAACCCTTGGGCCGCAGAAGCAGAGCGCACGCACCTAACCACTAAGCCACTGGGCCGGCCCCCAGAAATCCAGCTTTTGCTTTTTCCTTTATCTCAATAAGTATTGTCTTTAGACCGAAGTATTTTATAAAAATACATATATACATGTATGTATGTATTTTGTATGTATGTGTGTATGGAGAGACTGTTATTATAGATAAGTTTTTTGGACACAGAAATTTAAATTTCTTTTGTCATGTTTTGTCCTATGGACTTAGCAGGAGAAGTGGGGTCTTGGAGCCAGATATACAGAAATCCAAAATGGAGATGAAACCAGACCTAGATACTAGACTTACTTGCTGTTCCTGAGGTTAGCAGTTATGATCTGATGATGCTCTGTTTCAAATCAATGAGAAAGGGAAAGATGAGAATAGCAGTTTTAGAACAGTGTGACCGTTACACTGTGAAAAGGCAGTCTCTTCCAGTGTGATTTGGAACTAGGTTGCCGTGGTGCTTAGTCCTTCTCGTATTGCCTCTGCTTTCTAACCTGCTTCCAGTCTCAGAGGTACCAGGTAAGGCCACGTCCTTGCTTTTTCTTCCTATATTATGACAGGTAGTTTTGTGCTTGAAAAGAGGGCATTTAGAGAGTATAGTATCATTCCAAAATGACTATTAGGATAATCCTATCTCACTGGTTTCTCAGTTATTAATTTCTTCCATCATAGGTGGTGATTGCATTTAGAATTTGTCTACGTGAGTTTTTTTTTTTTTTTTTTTTAAAATTTTTATTTATTTATTTTTCCCCCAAAGCCCCAGTACATAGTTGTCTGTCATAGCTGCACATCCTTCTAGTTGTTGTATGTGGGACGCGGCCTCAGCATGGCTGGAGGAGTGGTGCCTCGGTGCGCACCCGGGATCCGAACCCGGGCCGCCGGCAGCGGAGCGCACGCACTTAACTGCTAAGCCACGGGGCCGGCCCTGTCTACGTGAGTTTTTAAAAACCGATTATGATCTCTGGTTTCTAATGTTAACTTTCCCATTAAGTTAACATAAACTTATTGCTTCATACCACAGTTTCCTTACCTTTCCAATATGGATAATAATAACTGTTCCACCTAACTTCAGAGGTTTCTTATGGGGCTAAGATTATCAAGGATGTGAAAGTGCTTTCAGTGGTTAAAAGAGTTGTACAAATATAGGTAGG